CATGTGCCCTAGAAGGTAGGTTTTCCAACCTTAGTCCCTCAGAAAATCCTGAAACTCACCTCTCAACCCTCTCATCTGGGTCTGAGAGCAGTCCTGCTTCAGATGAAGCACACTCATCCCAGCCCTCCAGAGCTCAGTCTCAACTGAAGGCCTTTAAGTCACTCTCTGACTTGGTCCCTCTCTCAGCCATAGTCCAAGAGCAGTTCTGATTGACTGGGGCCAACTCAGTGGCCCAGTGAGAAACTTCCCAGGGACCCAGAGAAACTCACAGCTGGTAACAGACCCACCATCTGTGGACCCAAAAGGCAAACCTGAAATAGAACCTTATTTCAATGCCAGTTCTATTGACCAAGATCCTAGAGGCTGTTCAGTCTTCCCAGGGACTAGATGATCCATGCCCACTCAGCCCCCTGGTAACAGGCCCAACAACTGCAGACACCTCTATAGTCTCAGAAAAAGCTATGTGACCCAACTTCACTCAATTAGAAGCCATCAGTCCAGAGACCCAATAGGAGAAGGTCTTTTATCTGCTGAAAGCAGTCTTTAAAAATGAGAAGAAATGTTAGCTCGTTTGTAAAATGACAGGAATAATGAAGAACAGGAGAACATGGCACCACCAAAGGAAACTCCAGCAATCATTCCTATAGAAATGTAGACCTATTTGTTGCCAATTAAAATACACAAAGATATCTCTTAAGCCAAATGAGATGAAAGAGAACATAGTCAAACAATTGAAATCAGGAAAATAATGCACAAACAAAACTAGAAGTTAAATAAGGGAACAGAAATCATAAAAAAGAATCAAATAGAAATCATAGAGTTGAAGAATACAATAGTAGGACTAAAAGTACAGAGTAAAGCTTAAACAATAGAATCAGACATATAGAAGAAAGAAACAGCAAACTTGAAGAGACAACATTTGTAATTAGTCAATTAGAGGCACACAAAATATAACAACTAACAAGAGTGAAAAAACTATAAGGAAACTATCAAGCAAATAAGTATATGAATAATTGGAGTTCAGGGAGAGAAAAGAGGGAGAGAAAGAAGCAGTAGGCTTATTTAAGGAAATAATGACTAAAAGCTTCTCATGTGTTGGGAGAAATATATTGAAATCCAGAGTCCTGAAACTTAAAGGACTCTCAGCAAGATCAAACCAAATCAGAACATCTCAAGACACATTACAATCAAATTGTAGAAAGGCAAAGGCAAAGGCAAAAAAAAAAAAGAAGAAGAAGAAGAAGAAGAAGAAAATTTGAAAGCAGAATGAAAAAAAAAAAAAAGAGAGACACATTAACATCAAGGAAAACTCACAAGGCACTGCAATTCCCATGGGGGGAAAATGCTAGATACGAAGGGTAGAAGACTACATTCTGGAGAAGGAATGAAGGCATTTTGGGTTGCACCAGGAAAGTTTCCAAACTATCCAATCTCTGCCCCTTTACACATAATCAGAGAATAAAGAGAATTTGACAAGCTCAGTAACCTTCCACCCCCAAAATACTTGGTGATGTGGAGGTTCCTCTAGTGTTACAAAACGTATTAAATGGTGAACTGGTTTGGTTAGGGATTTGTCTGTTGAAGAAGACAGACTTACACTATATCTAACATTAAAAAACCCTAGTGCCTTTTCATTTGGCTAAGTGATGGCACATTCAAAACTATCTCTTGCTATTTTTTAATCAAATATATATGAATTATGTCCTTTTCGGACCTGAAAACTCTAAAACTTATTCACTTGTTTCCATGTTAATGACTACAAAAAGTGAAGCACTTTATAGATGCTTATTTGAAGATTTTAAGAACTTTGAATCATTTTAATTGAATACCCAAATTGTAATGACACAGTTGGAATTGAATATGATCAAGACCTCCAAAGGTGGATTTCAATGTGTTACCAACAAAGTTTTATTTTTTTCTCTATTCATTCCAATGGATTTGGTAGGAAATTCAGATGAATGGACTGACCATGTGATAGAACAATGACAAAAAATCCTTCGTTTCAAAACGTGTCATTTGTCTGCTTTAGTGTTCCTTCCAGCTGATGAAATTCCAGGAGCTCTTAATGAATTAAAGCCATATTTGCCTGAATAATTCAGCAAAGTAATTGACTAGTTTGAAATTTATTATGTGGAGGGTAAGAAGCCACTTACGCAATGGTATTTGATTACCAGTACTGTTTCCACCAAATTTGCGGTCTCTATGAACAAATGAAGAATAGTTTTCTGTGCAGCCCACACAACTTAGAAATATGGAACAGAAGATGGGAAAATTCAAGAGGGAGTGTTCATGCCAGTGTATATCAAATCACGTCAGAGTTAAGAATGTGAATGTGTTCTCCAAGGTTCCAAGAAAAAAAAATAGCTATTCATCATGATGCAGCATTTCCAAATATAGTTAATGATTGTAAAAGATGACCAGTTCTTATGAATAACCTTTCTGCAGTTGTCCATAATGTATCCTGGTAACATACTTTTGGGGGGAGGGGCACTGGGGATTGAATTCAGGGGCACTCAACCACTGAGCCACATCCCCAGTCCTAGTTTGTATTTTACTTGGAGACAGGGTCTCACTAAGTTACTTAGCACCTCACTTTTGCTGAGACTAGCTTTGAACTTGCAATTCTCCTACTTCAGCCTCCCGAGCCACTAGATTACAGGGATGCACCTTTTTTATATGATAAATTCTCTCTTTGGGTTTTTTGTTTTTTCTTTTTCATTTTTAGCATTTTTCTACTATTTTAAAGTGTTAGCATTAGTTTTATAATTCTCTATGCTATATATTTCATCTCTTCATTTCTAATACCAAAGATAAAAATTGTGTAAAGACTTTTAGTATACTAATTTTTTTATGCATTGTTTTGTGAATTTAACTCCACAAAAGTACATTATTACAAAGTTGGCTTTGTGTGTAAACATTCTACATGGATAGAAAAACATTAAAATTTCTCCAACAAATGAAAAGATGGCTTTTTTGTTGTTAATCTTCGGGTGTGAACACTAAAATTTCTCAAGATTTCTGCATTTGGTCTGATGGTGATCCACAGTGAATTAATGTTGGGGAATAAATGGTTCCTTTTATTGGCTTCAGATAATTTTGTGAAGGGAAAGGATAGAATCAACTGGGAATAGTTGGGCTCAGCCTCATGACCAAAGCATGACTGATGTCTCAAGCATCATCCAAGAGAAGACCAGAGGTCATGCTATCACTGGGAGATGTTGCAAACCTCAACACTATACCAGGTGGAGGCAAGGGGTGCTAGATGGTTGGTGGGGAATAGAAGTCACTGGTTGTAAGCCCTTGCTGGTCCCACCAGCCTTGGAGGATGCTGGTGCCTGTCCAGTCATGGCTTTGATCAGTGCCACTATCTCCTGACCCAACCACCAATTCCTCCAACCTCCAAAGAGGCTGAATCTACACCCTAACCTGGGGAAGGGTCTGAGTGGGGCTCAGTGGCTGCCTCTGCTGTCATCCCTATCTAAACATGTACCCAGCTAGCTCAGGGAGGAGATACCATATGTGTTTGGTACAGGGTCAGCTGTCTTTCTGCTTTTTTGGGGTACCTGGGGTGAATGCCACCTGGTACTGCCATGTGCTTGATCCAGTATCATGGTGTTTGATTGATCCCATCAAAAGATGTAGATTGTCCATTACTGAGTTTCAGATGTTATAAAGCTGGTGGACATGATTACCAACCAGAGTGATATACAGTTATATATCTTACTCTTTTACCTATTTTCTTTATGAATATGATTATTTATTCATAACTATTATAGCTGTGAGGCTACCACTATCATTAATATACTTGAGTGTTTCTGCTTGCAAAAATATTTTATTTTTGCCTATTTTGTTGTGTAAAGTGTTCTTTGAAGTATTGTGTTGTGTTTTTATGTGTTTCTCAAATCTCCTTTATCAAAAAAATTCAAAATGTTTTCTAAGGAATTTTTAAAATTATTTTTTTATGAGTTGTATTTTTGAGAGTTTTACCTTTTCAGATTTTAACATTCAGAATTATGCTGTTCAGAATTGTGTCTTTTGTGATTATGGCCCAAATCCAGATGTAAATGTGTAGTCAAATTCAGAATACTGATAGTCTCAACTTACAATGGTTCAACTTATGGTTTTTAAACTTTCGATAGTGCAAAAGTGACACAAATTCAATATAAAATGTACTTTAAATTATGAATTTTGATCTTCTCACTGGCTAGCAATATGTAATACAATACTCTCATGATGCTGAATAGAGGCACCAAACCCGCTTAGCCATGTGATCACAAGAGTAACTTGGCAGTCTACCATGTTTCTAAGCTGTGATGTCCAGTAGGTTAGGTGTATTAAATATATATTTGACTTATGATATTTTCAATTTACAATGGTTTTATAGAAATATATCTCCATCTTAAATCAAGAAACAGCTGTACTCATATGTAACGGTGGTGCATAAATGACTTTTAACTCCATGGTAAATTTTTTTAATATTTATTTTTTTAGTTGTAGTTAGACTCAATACCTTTATTTTATTTATTTATTTTTATGTGGTGCTGAGGATCGAACCCAGGGCCTCGCACGTGTTAGGCGAACACTCTACCGCTGATCCACAATCCCAGCCCTCTACAATAAAATTTAAAGGACAAAAATATCTTCCAAATTGTAATTATAATGATTTGCTAATAGACACACAAAATAAAAACATGCAAAACGTGGCAACAATATCATAAAACAGAGGCGTGGTGAAAGTGTAGTTTCTGTATGAGATGGCTGCTATGTCATTATCAGGTTAAAATAAAATTTTATAACTATAAGATGCTTTATGTAGGCCCCTTGGTAACCATAAAGTTAAAATCTCTTGGAAGTGCATAAATGGTGAAGACAAAAGAATATAAACCTACCACTCCGCCACAGATAAATCACCAAATCACAAGAGAAGACAGCAAGAGAAGAAAAAGAAACACTCAAACTGCACAACAAAAAACAGTTAACAAAACACAATAACAAAAGCCTTACCGTCAAAACTTTTATTAAATGTAAATAAAATTCTACAGTGGAAAGATAGAATGACAAGACAAGATTTTTTTGTAGAAAACAATATGAAATAATTTGCTGCCTATTAAAAGACTCATGTCACCTTTAAGGATACACATAAGGTGAAAATGAAAAGATAGTGAAAGATATCACACGTAATGGTAAACAGAGAGTAGGGGAGGGTACACTTCTATCACAAAAATAGACTGTCAGTCAAAATTGGTCACAAAAGACAAAGATGGTCACTGTATAATGTTAAAGTGATCAAGAATATATAAGATATATATATATATATATATATATATATATATGCTCCACATTGGAGCATCTAAATATAAAAAGTACATATTAACAAAACTAAATGGGTGAATGGACAGGAACACAATAATAGTAGTGGACTTAAGATATGTACATTACTCAACCTGCCCTTTTCACCCAACAAAAAGGGTTGGAGTCAAATCCATATTGATTCATATAGATCATTTTTGTTCTTTCTAATTAGTGTTTAATATTTCATGGTATGAATACAACATTTTATAACTAGCCACTCTTTGTTGAGGCCCAGTTTTCTCCTTGACAAATAATACTACAACAAAAATGTTTATATATTGTGAGGGTGTTTTTAAAGTAAAATTGCTGATTTTTAAGATAAGCACATTTTTATTTCACTAATAGAACCATATCACCCTTTAGAAAACTGTCACTTTATACACTCACATGCATTGTATGAATACACCCATTGGTGTTAGTTAGCTTCTTTGCTACTGTGATCAAAAGACCTGCCAAGAACAATTTTAGAGGAAGAAAAATTTATTTGGGGTTCATGGTTTCAGAGGTTTCATTTCATAGATTTCTAATTCCACTGCTCTGGACCTGAAATCAGGCAGAATATAATAGCAGAAGAGTGTGGTGGAGGAAAGTGGCTCAGACATGGCCACCAGGAAGCAGAAAGAGACTGTTCCCCTCCACGGGCATGCTCCAACAACTTGCCTCCTCCAGCCACAACCTGCCTTTCTATAGTTACCACCCAATTGATATCTATCAGGGGATTGATGTGCTGATTAGGTTAAGGCTGTCATAATCCAATCATTTTACCTCTAAGCTTTCTTGCAATGTCTCACACACAGACTTTTGGGGGATACCTCATGTCTTCTAAACCATAACACCATTTCTCCACAGTATTGTCAACACTAACAATTTTTGTCCCTCTTGGTGCACATTTTTCAGTAATTCTTTCTGAAAAGGTCTTTAATGGTAAATTTTAAAGTCTGAATATATCCTTGTTCCATCTTCAACTGTACATAGTATCTTTTGACTTGTGTACGATTATAAGTTTAAATGTCTTTTGCACATTAAACGATCCTCTATTTTCCCCTTATTTCTGGATGGCAATTTAGAAATCTGATGTTAATCTGATCTTCATTCTTTTGTAGACAATTTAACTTTTGTTCTCCAGTAATTTTTAAGATATTTTTTCCTTGATATACTGAAAGATTAGTAAATGCTCCTAGATATAACTCTTCTACTACATGTCCCAATTGTGGATTAGTAGATCCTTTCAGACTGAGGCTTAATGACATATTTTTCATTTCTTGAAAAACTGAAACAAATATTTCTTCAAAGATGGAGATGGAACTGGAGACTCTAGTGTCCCCAGGGTTTTTTGGTTGGAATTGGGAAGGAGAGTGAACAACAGTGCCACAAACCTAAGTTCTTCTGGAAAGAGTGAAGTAATGACAGAGGTGAGAAGGGTGTGGAACAGCCAGAGTGGAAAAAGAGCAGGAGAATTTGGAAGGAGGGTGGGAAAGTAATGTTCAGGAAATAGCTGTAGGGAGTTAGGGAAGCCAGGGTCCTAACTCCTCCCAGATCTGAGAGCTGTCCCCCAAAATGGTGGAACTCCCAGCTGATTGTTTGCTTTTTGTGGCTCCTGGCTCCTGGCCCGTGGTTGAGTCTGCTTGTTCCATGTGACCCTAATTCCTGGAGAACTTCCAGGGAGGGGAGACACAGGGAGTAGACAGGACCCTAATGGGTACAGGATGGATTTAGGTGAGAAAATTAGTGAGGTGTGAATGGTATGTTGATGTACTAATAATTATTAATTACTCATCATATTAATTAGTGCAATCACGAGTTAATTAATATATATGAATATATTCTTGCAGAATTCTGGAGGCTTGAAGTCCAGGATCAAGTCCTGCAGGTTTGGTTTCTTCTGAGACTTTTGTCCTGGGTGTGAAGAATGCTGTCTTCTTCCTGTGGTCTTCCCCTGCATAACTGTGTCTTCATCCCTTCAGAAGACACTAGTCATGTTGGACTGGAGCCTACTCCATAGACCCCATTGTAATTAATCACCTCTTTATAAGCCACCAAAGTCATGGTCCGAGGTACTGGGGTTTCGATGTCAACATATGAGTTCAAGGGGGGCTTAATTAGCCCCTATCAGAGCCTAAGAGTTCATCTTTTAAATGTAAGCTATTTTTTTTTCCTTCTCTGAAAAATTGTGTAATCCCATGACAGCATGACTCATGAATATTTAAATTCCACAGGAAGTACCAGAAGTCTGCAGATGAGGGGAAAAAACCTTGGATTTGGGATCAGGAGCCTGAACTCTAGACAATGATCATTCCTTTACAGACACACTCATTTTCTCTGAACAATGTGGTCTTCATCTGTAAAAAGATGTGACTATTACATGCAAAAACATACATGAAAGAGTGTGGTATTACTAGGTATTATCTCATCAAATCTAAGACACCATCAATTATAAGATGTACCATTATGTTACATTACCAAAAATGGCAAAATCACACCAGGGGAGATTCTAAAATTGCAGATTCAGATGCCCTACAAAGATTCATTGAATTTAAATCTCCTGGGACGTAGCTCCAGGATTGGCATTTTTTAAATTACTTTCAACACAGTTAGTCAATATGTTGAACCACCCAAAGTTTAACTCTAGCTACGGTCTTTGGATCTATTTATCAGTTACTTAGCTTGTTCTATAGGGAGCCCTGGATCTCGGGCTTTTCCAAAAAACCTATCACCCAAATTCTTTGCATTGTCGGACACATTCATGGAATTCCAGAAACTTGCACTCAGGAGTTACACAAAATAAATACTTTGGTAGAACATGTAAACCAAAATCCTCCAGTGGTGGGAATGCTGCAGCAGTATTCCACAGGGGTAAGCTCTCTGAAACCCCCCTCTGACCGTAACCCAAGAGCAGCCAGGCCACCTCCAACACCATACACTTGTATGATTCTAAATAAACTATTAGTTCCTCATATTCATTTTTAAACCATTTTTGTCAAACTTAAAAAAAAAAAAACTCATTGAAACCCTTTAAGGGCTATTTCTCCCCCCTCCCCTGAATATCTATGAAGGAATTCTGAGTAACGAATGGTGACCACAGAAAAAGCAAGTGCCAAGATGACGAAGACTACTCTAGATACCTTGAGTACTCAAGATACAAGGTACTCAAGTTACCTTGACTCTTCAGTGGTCTCACGATCCACTGAGCCTCCTTCACACTTGCACGACCTTCAAGTTCACATTAGTGTGCTCCGTAAGTTCAGCCGAGTCCAATGCATGGATTTGATGGCTGAGCAAACTGATGTCCTCCCCCAAGAAAGAAAATGACTCTCCTAAGGTCACACACAGCTCACAGACACTGAGTCCACTTCTCCTAGTCCCGGTCCCTTACATACCTCCCCTGCCCCACCCACAATCTGATAATGACATCCAGGAGTTCACATCAAAAGCACCGGACACTGTCGCAAATGCCGTCTGACTCAATGTGGATCTGCGCTGGTTCTCCCGAGATCCCTCACTGAGCCAGTTACAGTTCTCATGCAGATTTCCTCTGAGTCTTGGCTAAATCCCAGGGAAGCACACATATCAGATCTGCTGTATATTGGCAGAACTTTGGCTTCAAACATATTTCAAATGCCTGCCATTGAACACTGGCAGCCTTGGAAAAACACTGCCAGGAAATTATTCTGGGAGGCCTAATTGTTCTATGACACTTGAGAACAAGAGGGAACGGTGACTTTCTCTTCCAAGCTCTTCCCTCTGTGCCCAGAACCAGAACAGATGATTGCATTTCCCAGTGTGTCCCCTAAAATCGGGGAGGGCGAGCTCAGAGGCAGCATGAATCCAGGGAGTCTTTCCTGGGCAGGGCCCTCTGCGCAGCACTGTGTGCATTTTGCCAAGTTCTTTCTCCTTTGGTTTTAAAACCTTTGTGTATTCCAAAAGAAATGCAGTCCATGTGTTTCTGATTCATTTACACTTAAATCATTAAAATGTTGTCTTGTGAGAGTTATTTGATGTCTGAGGAGCCTGAGAGTCTTTTTTAATGGGAATTTTAAAGGCGATTTCTCTTACCCTGCCTGCAACAGAAAGCAACATTTTGTGAAAACTGTGCCTGAGTTCAAACATATGTTCTCATCTGATATACTTGTACCTGTGTTCTTGACCACAGTCTCCTGATAACGCCAGGCTTGGCAAGACCGACATTCCCGAGTGGAATGAGATTGGAGCGAAAATGGGACATGACTTACAGTGAGAGCTCAAGTCATCCGTCCCCAAAATGTGCCAGAGGAATGGTGTCTTAGAGAGAGAGTGCACGCATTTGCCTCCTGGGTTTGAGTAGCAGGTAGCCCTCTGGACAACTAAGATAGCCCTTTCACAGGCATAATCTCATCTTAAGCCTCATGGCAACCTCCATTTTGCAAATGCAAAAATAAGATCAGAGATATTAAATTATTATGACCAAAGTATGTAATCAGCTTGGGTAAAAAGAAAAGATTATAGCTGAGTTCTGTCTCTGAGTCTAATGCTCTTCTCAAAATGAATCAAATTGGGGTTCTCGGTGAATGCTGTGTGTATGTGTGCTGTGTGTTTGAAATTCCTCATGCATTATAATATATTAGTAAGAAGCAATGATATACAATGCACAAGAGCTCAAATTCTTCCTCAAACACTATCTGTGTGACTCTGGGCAAGTTACTTAGCCTCTCTGGGCAGTTATCTCATATGGAAAATGGGAATAATATTACTATCCACCTTTTTTAAAATATAAAAATAACTGAAGACAATCTGTGTAGTAGTGGTGGGGAGTAATAAATATATTGCTAGGTAAACTTGGCAAATTAGATAATCTCTGAGCCTGTTTCCTCATTTGTTAAAACAAAAAAAGAAAAGAAAGAAAGGAAAAAGAAAGAAATATGTAATAGTAGGACCCTCACAAGTTTGTGAAAAGTAATTTAAGGAACACAGAGAAGATGCTCTAACACAGAAAGGATGCTCAATAAAACCTGTGTTTCACACCCAAACCTGCCTCTCCGTCCTCAATGTTGGTTGATATATTGTGGAGGAAGTTCTTATAGATGGACTTATCAGTGTGAGGGGACCAATACTATAGAGAAGGTGTTTCTTATTATTCAGCTCAGCTCTGATCCAGTGTTACATTTCTCCACAAACCATCGACACAGACACATACATGGGCCCAGGTCTTGCTATACCTCTGGGGCTCCTGGCCTCCTGGCACTGAGGGGTCCTTCCTAGGCTGGACTGGACCTCTGCATACTCTGAGTTGGTAAATGGCACCGAGTTGCTTTTAAGTGGGGAGAGACAAGTAACTAACTGCAGAACTTGGTGCTCCCACATGCTGTCTGCTAGGGGTTCGGCTCACAGGAAAACCTGTAGTCGTTTGCAGATAGTCCGAGGCTTTGGCATTTGCAACATGTTTTCTTCCTAGGGTCGATGCTAGCGTTGCCTTCTTAGTTGGCTCTTTCTGTGTAATTCATGTTCTTTTGCTGATGTCCTGAAGAAGAGCAAAAAAAAATTTAGACATCAGGCATGGGAAGCTGAAAAGAAATTAGACTTTGTCCCTCTCCCGCCCTCTTCCTACACACACACACACACACACACACACACACACACACACACACGGGGTGGGGGGGCGGGAATACCTATCTGAGCTCTGAGTTGTTTTCTCTCCAATGCTGGAGTCCGCCACACAGGATAAAGGAGGGGACTGGCAGAGCAGATCTCTTAAGGAAGAAGACAGATTCCGAGTGTGTAGAAGAGCAGTGAGAGCAAAGAGAGAGAGAGGAGAGAGGAAAAGCCAGAGGGAGAGAGGGGGAGAGGGGATCCGTTGCAGGCAGGGGAAGGCGTGACCTGAATGGAGAATGCCAGCCAATTCCAGAGACACACAGGGACCTCAGAACAAAGATAAGACATCGCTGACACCACACCGGGGACGATCTCACAGACTAGTCCGGCAGAGGGGACCCAGGCCAGGCAGTCAGGAGCGTGCAAGGCAGGAGAATGAGGTGAGTACCAGGGCAGGAGAGGGCTCCGTGCCCTTTGGGGAACCAAGTGTCAAGTGGCCCAGAGGGTCCGTCCTCTCTCTGGGCAGGCTCACCTGCATGTCCTGTGGGTGGCCGGGGTGGAGGTTCTCTTCCACTGAAGGGGAGGCTGGATGCACGGGAGACATGCCCCTAGGAAGCTGGAGTTTGTGCAAAGCCTGCTCTGGCGGGCACAGCTGAAGCTCGAATTTCTCCCTCTGCCAGCGCAGGGTGCTGCCTACTGGTCAATGTGACCTCCTCCCGTTGCCCACAAGGCTGATTTTTCCTTTTCCTCTTCTGCAAAGACCATTGAGTCCTCTCTCCCAACACTTTGAGAGTTAGATATGTATTTGTGTGTTTATTTGTTCTGACCGGAAAAGAAACCGGCTTCCCACAGCCCAGCTCTGTGGTTTCAGAAGTTTTCCTGTGAAACCCCAATTTAGAAAACTCAAAACCTGTCCCCATTTTACAGTTCCCTATAAATTTCTGCATTTCTCACTGAAATCAGAGGCAGCTGGTGACATGAATCAGGCTATGAATTGCACCAAATGGCTCTTAAAGGGATACCACAATTTCTTTAAGGATCATTTGGAGTTCCAAAGCCCAGGACTTTAAACTTTAAATTCCAATTGATTTGAAGCTCTTCAACCTTTCTTATTCCTCATCTTACTTAATGTTCCTTATCAGACATTCCTTACAAGTTTTTTTCTGCAGGTCTGGAAACTCAACCACTCTAATTAGTTTTGCTATTTATAAACGTTATTGCTGCTAGAAATATACAAAAAAGTGAAAAATATATATTAAAAAAAAAACCTCTCTCTCTATAAGTCCCTATGTAGCTCTTTTCCCTTTGATTTTTCTCTAAATCGGGGGGATGTTTCTGTCTGTTTCTCTTCTGCAAAGTCACCCAGCAACTTTGCTGAGTCCAGGCCAATGAAGGGCTTCGGCTGCATAACTCTGAATTCCAATTACTTGTAGTGCAGAGAGATACTCGAGTCCTTAATGTTAATTCAATCATTTCATTCTTTTTAAATCCATTGTAATTTTGAACTTGCCATCAAACTTCATTTTCCATTCTTTCCCCTAAAAACAAAATTGTATTTATGCCCATCTACTTTGAACCATATCTGATTCACCTGCCAAGGAAATGAACCCACCCTACCTACCACTAATGCCTCAGCTACACCAAAATACAGGACTCAGTGATAATCCTGTGTCTTTGCATATGCTTGTCCCTTAACCTAGAGCAATCCTCCTCCTTATTTTCCACCTAAAAGATCTGTTGGGTTTGATCCCTTTCAAATATCACTTGCTTTTCTCCGATTTCCATCCCCCAGAGCAAGCATCTCCTCCTTTGTTCTGTTCTGTGCTTTGGAGCGATGTCTCCTATTGTCTTTGGAGTACCTCCTTATTTAAATGCCGACTTCTGTGACAAGCAGGGAGATCAGTGTTTTCATCTCTGTAGGACCAGCACCTAACATAATGTCTGTTTCCTGCTAGGCATTCAATAAATATTTGTTGAATTGAACTCAATTGCTGAATAGCAAAGCAGCAACTAGAAAAGGGTTTCACTAGAAAAGTCTGTAAAGGGTCTTGCCTCACATGCTCGTAGCACTTCAGAGGTTGCAAGGCAGTTTCATGTGCATTGTGTCACCTAGTCTACAGATTGGGGATGACAAAGGGTTTATGGATAAGGGAGAATAAAAGCAGTTGAGCAAGTTTCTCAAAGCCACACTGATGATCTGGAAAAGGCCCAGTCTCAAACTTGGATCTTCTTTGGGCCCCGAGGACAGCATTTTTTTCCTACTATGTTCCTCTAGACTCTCAGTCCTGTGCACACTAGAATGACCTGTGGTGCTTTTAAATGCTCATGCCCAGGCTCCAGCCCAGGCCAATTAAACCAGAAGCTCCTGGGAGGAAGGCTCAGGCATTAGTAGTTTTTAAATTTCCCCAAAGCCATGGATTTTAAAATTATTTTTCACAGGGTTAATTGCTTTGGCCAGCTGCCTGGGCATGATATGGGCATGGACCCAACTTCTTCTGTGAGCCTTTGTTATTCCCTTCTTCGATGAAGCAAATTCACCATATGGTCTTGGGCATGATGTGACATCTCTTGGGGTATTCTTTTCATCACCTGTCAAATGAGGGTGGAGCGTAAGGAGCTCAACAGTCCCTTCCAACTCTTCAACTTAAAAAGGGAGGCCTGGTGTTGTGTACGTTGAAGTGAGATGAGTGAGTGGCAAGGCTAGAAAGTGCCACCTATTGCTCCGTCATATCCCCAAGGGGCATCTTCACACATCCCCAAGAGCTTGCACCCACAGAGGAGCCCATGAAATCCCAGCTCTGTATTACTTTTGACATTTCAAGCAAACGTAGCTCAACTCTTTGATGAGCCACAGGATAGATAACAGGTGTCAGGAATTGTACAGCTGGTGCCTGGTATATGAGAAGCCAAAACCATTCAGAAGGTGTGATGGGGAATGAAATCTGCCACTTAGATTCTTCGATTTATAGCCCCTAAAGCAAGCAAGCATATGCTCAGGCCCATTATGTGAAAGGAGATATTTGCTTTGTATGTTTGAAACTGTGTTAGATGCCAACAGGCCTTCCTCCCACACTGACCAATTGCCCACCATACATGGCACGGGGCTTCTAGGATAGATGGACCAGTCATCCACCAGCCCTTGACATATTTCGGCCTGAGGAATCTGAGACACTCCTCTATGTGGTCTGGAAAAAGCAGACATAGAGAAAGTTGACCTTTCAGCCTTACGTAATCAGTTGTCGCTATTGCAGGGAAGTCCAGTTTGGGAGCCAAAGCTTATGCCTAACACCTGCTTTTTGGGAAGCAGCATGATGGAGTAATCAGCAATAATGTTTGCCTAGGGCTGGACACTTAACCAAGTATGTTCCAAAGCTCCTGAGGACAGCAGGCCTGTGGGAAACCATTATTATCACCAGATAATAGACAAGAAAACAAATTCAGACGCTCCACCATTTCCTTAAAATGGGTAGGATAAATAAAAGCAGGGCCTCAAGTTGATCTACTCTCCCCTCCTTGGGATGGATGAGCAGAAACTCCCAACCCTGTTAATGACAGTACGTTTCCTCACTTGAAATCTCGAGTCCTAGGCCCTGCAAGTTGGAGTTTCTGGAATGGGCCTTCCTAATTCACTGTAGAACTTGGACCTGTGCCTTCCCTGATCACTGCCTCTGAGGTCCTTCCTTCACAGATTGGTGTAAAAAAAAAAAATATTGACAGTGGCAATTGGATTAAAATATTTTGTTTTCTTAATAGCATCCCACATGCTGCTATTGTAAGAGCCTTGGGAAAAAATATACTACTTTATTTTCTTTTTATTGAAAAAATAGCACATGGTTCTTCTAGACCAATGTGAATATTCTGCATACACAAAACTAAAAACACTCCTATTTCTATTCCACCGACAACCACTAATAATACCTTGGTGTCTATCCTTGCAGACCTTTTTATATTTATCTATTTATCTTTTATGTAAATAATACATGAAATAGCCAGATAATCTATGAATGTACTTCTCTTGCTGTGTGTATACACTCAAAAATTCATCTGTATGCATATATACAAATATACATCTGAATGCATGACTGGGAGTCCTGGCCGGGAAGCAACTTCCTGATTAGCAAAGATAAAACTACTAATCCAAAAATGCTGTCACAGTTTCCCAACGTTGACTTTTGTAATTCTTAGACTGGTCTGTCAGTCTCAGACTCTCTTTCCTCCCTTCCTTCTTTCATTTATAATCTACAATATAGCAGACTCTACACTGGATCCTTGACATATGTTATTGCTAATGTCCATACGAATCCTGTCAAGTAGGGATGATGATCCTCATTTACATATGTGGAAACTAGGACTCAGAGAAACTAGTTGCCCATGTTTTCACAGCCGTAAGTGGGAGAATTGGGAACTGAACCCAAGTACACTCAACTTCAAAGGCTGGGCCTGAAGCACTGCAGTGTGGCAGTCACTCCAATAGGGGGCTGTGGAATCTGGAGCGATGAAGAGATAATTCACAGCCCAGGAAGAAAAAATGGGACATCAGCAGATGAGCAATGAGCAAAGCATGTGCCATCGGGCTGAGGTATGGAAGGGGATGGCCTGACTGGCACTGAGAGAGGGCTGGACGGGCAGATCATCACCAGACCCAAAAGGGACTTTTCAGCCATTCCGAGGCAGGGGTTGTACCTGCAGACATAGTGCAGCACGATGGTGGCATCTATGTCATAGGAAACCAGCTTCAGCAGAAGATTGCTGAATGGTATAAGGGGGCCAAAAGACCAGTTAGGATGCTATAGAAATAGTCCAGATAAGAGGGTTTAAATTAAGGAATTGACTAGAGAGGAAGAGAGATGGGTCTCCAAAACAGGCAGAAGAGTCAAAAAGATTTGGTAATGATTATATGTGGTGTAAAAGGCAGGAGGAATGGCAGCCTTTCAGGCTGAGGGAGCTGGTGGATGAGATCACCACTAAAAGAAATCAGAAACGAGAGCAGGAATCTGTGAGAAGACACACTGTCCAGCCATGTTTGGATGTTTGAGTTCAAAGTCCCTGGGCGTTGGTGGGAAGCGACCATTTGTCAGCTGCTGAGGTGCAAGTGCTGACCATTTAGGCTTCGACCAGCCTTGGTTACTCTGCCTCTTTATTGCGCCATCCACGCTTGGCATGTTCTGAGAGTTTTACTGAATTTCCCTTCCTGCTTTTTGCAACAGTTATCCTGGATTCTTACAGAAATGAATTAGAGGCTTTTAACCCTTGTATTAGAACCTTACCAAGGAAACTCCTTTGCTCATTCCAATTTTATTCAAGATTTTGCATGCCATGACTGATTTGGTAATGCAACACTTCTTTCAAAATATTAAATTGGTTTAAAGTCTCCAGATTCCACCACAGGGTGTAAATCTCATCCCAATATTACCATGCTATTATTACTTACATTTTAGAAAAATGCATAAAGAGTTTATGATTCCTAAAGGAAGCCAAACTGAAGAAATGAGACCAACTTTTATGTAATTATTAAGTTACCTTTTCAATAGTAAAATAATATGGTACTTTCTGGAAAAGTTTAATACTCTATTCGAACTTTTAAAGGAGCAAAACTAGAAGCAGCTTCAGAAATCACCTAGTTCCTTCCTCCCATATTACAGACGAGGTAAGCAAGGCCCAGATGGGGGGATCTACAGTAGGGATATGCTGAGGAGTTGGTCTCCAGGCCGCTGACTCAGTTTAATGCTGGGGCCCTGCGTCCAGGAATGTAAGTGGAACCACATTCGTGTCTTTCAGGTGGCTCCTTCTCTGTCATGCTCTGTGCTTCTCCCTGTTGAAGGCTTCGTCCCACACCGTGGAGTTGAATGACATGTTTGGCCAGATCCAGTCACCTGGCTATCCGGACTCCTATCCCAGTGACTCAGAGGTGACTTGGAATATCACTGTCCCAGAGGGGTTTCGGATCAAGCTTTACTTCATGCACTTCAACTTGGAATCTTCCTACCTTTGTGAATATGACTACGTGAAGGTGAGACCACCAATGTGTTCTCTCATGAGGCCAGGCTCTCCTCTAGGAGTTAAAGAAGTCTAGGTGGGTTAGACACTGTCTCTTCCTTCACAGGGCTGCATCTAGTGAGGGAGCCACACAGGGTCACAATGTGATGAATGAAGGTGGTAGGGGGTGACAAGTTCAAGCTGAGTAGGAAGAACTAGAAAAGACCATGAGGAAAACTTGGGCTAGTGATGTGTGAGCCAGCCAAACACAACATTTTTGTTTTCTTTCTATTCTCAGGGTTGAGAGTGAAGTTCAGTGGTAGAGCGATTGTCTAGCAAACCCAAGGCCCTAGTTTTGATCCCCTACACACACACACACACACACACTCGCACACTTACACACAATTCTGTTCTCCATCTGAAATGTCTTCACTAGTTCCCACTCCAAGGTTCAAGGCAAGAGGAACAGAGACCCCCGAGGAAGCAGCAGTCAGACAGACACATAGCCATAATTGTACCCAAAGATGAAGTATTAGAAAGCATTGCCCAATTCCCCCAAATAATTTATCAAGTGATTGAAAAGTGCAGGGTATGCTGGAGCCTGCAGGAGGAGGCAGTGCTGGAAGGGAGGGTCAGGGTGCAATTCTGAAGGGCCTTGAATGCCAGGCTAAGGAGTTGGCAATTCACCAGCAAAGGGCATGGGTAGCAAGGGAAGTCGCTATCAGAAGGGTATTTTAAAAATGTCTTAGGGGAGAGCTGAAGAGGATATAACATCCAACAATATTTCCTAGAATCTAGAGAGTACTCATAAAAAATTGCCATGAGTGAGATGTTCTCACTTTAAAGTGGGGCAGAGAAGGATCAGAGTATTCTGAGAGATCAAGTTTATTAAAGTTGTACCTACTTTTAAAAGGTACGTAGACCCAGGAACCTATTTTCTAAGCTCTCTCTGGCTTCCTGGGAGAGGTTCTCATCAAATAACTTCAGAGTGGATGGTATGTGTTTTTAGTGTTCTTGTAGTCTTATTTTCCCACAGTCATTCAGCAAAGGGGAGCCTTGTATTAGCTAAAATGTTTTATCCACAACAAAGTAGTGAGTTTGTAAGGTGCTTTTGAACTTATCTCATTTAAACCTTTTAACAAACCTATGAGATAGTAACTACTCTCCCATTTCACAACAAAGAAACAAACTCAGGAAGTTTTATTTACTCACATAACATTGCACAGCTGGTGAATGGCAGATGCAAGTCCCAATCCCCTTCTATGGCCTTGAATCTTATGCTCTTTTGGCCACACCAAAGAGCCCACAAGCCATGCTCCACCGAGCCTCAGGAAACTACAGGTATTTCCAAGGGCACAGGATGGGGAAGACCTACTAAGAGACATTGTGGCCCCACCCTTCTTCAATTCATTTTATACGTGGGGTGCTGTAACTAAATATTCTGAGTTCACGGGAAATAGCCCTTGATGCTGCACATCGGGGTTTCTCGATCTCAGCACTATTGACATTTTGAGCCAGAAAATTCTGCAGTTATGACAACCCAAACTGTCTCCAGACATTGTCAGTGTCCTAGAACACTGCCAGGTGGGATGCTGCAGTTTTTTGGGTGCCTTGTGCAAGGAACTATCACCTTACCAGGATGCAGAAGATCTGGTCCCTTATAAAGAGAGAAGAGCCTAGAAAACATGATCTCTTGGCATTGCAAAGAAGCAATCTATTTGAGGCAACTCATGGACTAATCTGCTACCTGTAGTGCCCTACAGACCTTGCATCTCTGAATCAGATGCATTTGTCTAATTCCTTTGGAGAAATTGGGAAGGGGGCTTGTATAGTGACTCTACTGGAATGCCCTCCCTGCATGGAACTAGCCTCCCTACAGCCATGTCCCTGGCAGCCAGGGAACATGAGCAGATCTCACTTTTGTAGGAAGCTGCATCCTCATCAGTTGATAACCGGTGCTCACAGGGAGACAGGACCCTGCATCCTTGTTCACACACTCCTGAACAATTTCCCTCAAGAATCAAGAGCCCACAGAATGTCAGGCTGCAGAGGCCCTCTGAAGGCACATCGACTCCCAGGTTGTTGATGTTTTAAAATTTTTTCTCCCTAGTGAACATGTTTTTCCAATGACCCTTCAATTAGGCCCAATATAGAAAAGAGACAGAAGTGGAGTTGCCCAGGTTGAAGGTGACCCCAAAGCTCACTCTGCCTGCTCTTCCTCCTTGGTCACTACTCTGCAGCACCTTGATAACTTATGGCTCTAGTTTTTTTTTTTGTTTTTTTTTTTTTTTTGCTCTTATCAAGTTCTCATTGAATGGAAGAGACTGTAGTACTCCACCTCTAAATTCTGGATTAATCCAGAAATCTTATACACATAGTGAAACCTGTTCATTTTTTCAAATTTCCTTCCCATCCCCAGGCTCTAGCTCTTTTTCTGGCTTTGAATGAGAGAGAAGGTGGTCTCTTTCCATTTGAATAAAAAGCATGTGCCATGTAACTCGGGATAAGTCAACACCACTCTCCAAAACTCTGTTATATCACCTGTCAATGAGAAGGTGCATTAGATGATCCCTAAGGTACCTTAAATTCCAGAATTCTAATTTTAATTCTTTTTGCCAGAATTTCTCAGATGAATCCACTAAGCCCTCATTATCCTAGATAGGATAATCCCAGAAAACAGGAATACCATGTTTACTGCAGCCAATTCTCAAAGTACCATGGCTATTAACACTCTGGTTAAAGCTTAGAGTCTGCTGAAGATGTCTTAGTGGCACATTATTTGAGTAGAACATGTAAATATATCCTACCACGACTGTCCTTTAAAAGGCATTTTAAATATGACTGATTTTCCTTTGGTGGATTAGATCCCCTGTTTTAAGGCTTTTTACTCCCTGACTGAATTCCCCTGCAGCTGAGGAGTGGACTTTAAAGGACCTTCCAGCTCATAGGTATCCTTTCCAGCCCAATCCAAGCCCTCCATCTGCCCTTCCCACCCAGGCCCATCCCAGGGGCCATGGCAGAATTGCTGACTGCACAACAGTAGCTTGAATAAGAACAGGATCCCAGTCCAGGGCTGATGAAATTTTTTTTTTTCCACATTTATGAAAATTCCCTCCCAGCCTGGTTTCCCGCGGTCCTTGGTCTTCGAGGCACGTGCACAACTGCACAGAATTATCTGCTTCCTTGGAATGAGACTGCTGCTGTGGATTTCTGAAGTGCACTGATGAGGCCTATGAATCGCAGCTGGCTGATGCTACAGGCAAAGGGCAGAGCACAGGCACTGGACTGGGGGAAGGGAGGACTAGGTCCTGCTAGACATTCTGTACTAACTGACCGTGGACACATAACTACTACTGGAGGGGACTCTTTCCTACTCTGTCAAATGCAAGGAGTTGGGCTAGATGGTATCTAAGGTCTTCCTAACACTGATATTCTATGCATCTAAGACCTTAGAAATCAAGGTCTACCTCCATCATTGTCATGTCCAAAACCTGGGGAAGGGCAATGCACTGGCCAGCATCATTTCTGGATCAGAATTTACATCTTAAGATACTCAGTCTTTTCTAAAAAAAATTAATGGATTTATTAGTGGATTCCCATCTTGTGAATGATTAGGATTTAAAGTTGTAATATAAGGCAAATACCGCCTATGGTCAAATGTATGCTTAAAAATCCCCTAAGTATAAAAGAATATTATCTTTTAACTTGTCAAGAAGGGACATTATTTTCTGTAATGGAACAAACTACTGGTCCTTTGGTTGACCACCAGATGAAAGTTGACTTAGAAAGGAGCCGCAGGGCACTAGTTACAGAAAGAGGCATAATTATTTAGAAACCAGAAGTCCCAAGAGAACAGAAGATTCACACGTGTCATCTTCAAGTTCACTTCATTGCATCTGTTTATTGAAAAAAGGGGCATGGATCACCTAATTTGGTTTGGTCTCTCTCTCTCCTCTCTCTCTCTCTCTCTCTCATTGTGCATAAATTCGGTTGATATCTGTCAAATGCTCCTTCGATGCAATACCACTATTCTCCTATTACGCTGTCCTTGATGAAATCAACATTTCTCCCATCCTTTCCACTTGTTAGCCTTAGTTCCAATTTTTTTTTATTCTTCTTATCTAGTCTATTGCAATACCTCCCAAAGTTTATCAGGTATCTGCTTTAGTCCACGCTTCACATATATCCAGAGGATTCTTAAACATTGCTGTGATTGCACCACTCTGAAAACCTTTCATTTTCTATCATGAAATCCAAGCATTCTATTGAAAACTTATTCCACACTGCACACTGTACCCAAACTGGCCCCACAAGGATAATTAAGGTAGCCCTGCCCTCCAGGAATTTGGTTTCATAGTATGTAATGAGATAATCACATAATTGATAAATTAAAGTCAAACAAAGCAGCATAAAGGGCATAAGAAAACATATATATTTGGGAGTGGTCATTTCTGTGTGATCAGGAAAGCCTTCAGAAACAATTGATCCTCCTTTAAGTCCTGAAGGATACGTAGGAATTCAACAGTGTGCTTCCTTACATGGGGTATCTTAGCAGAGCCACCATGGTATGGAGGATGGAATGGGGCAGTTTTGATGTGTTTTAGGGAGGTACAAGAGAAAAGCCCAGAAAGATCACCTAGGGAGAGACTAAGAAATGGTTGGTAAATGTGGGCCTCAGCACACACACCCAAAGCCACAAACACATGATCAACAGGTTGAATTAATCCTACAGATGTATGTTATTGACCAATCTAGAATTGTCTGGCTCTATGTTAAAAAAAAAAAAGAATAACAACAACAGCAACAAGATGAATAATGTCAACATAAAATTTCTGATCCAAACAAAATTTTGCATCTCTACATCTGGCAATTTTGATGGTGTGCTGTATGACAACACAGCTGGACCCGGTAGACGCAGTCCTGTAGGTGAGTCCCCCAATCTGGACAGCTCCCGCAGGCCAAAGCTTCCTCACCTCTCTCCTGCTTCTCATACCGTGAAGAACACTAAATATTTTCCCCCAGTGCTCTACAAAA